AATATATTTCACTATGTCTAGACGTTTCATTTCACTATGTTTATGTTTAATGTATAATGGATTTTCATCGCATATGACTGCAAGTCTGGGTCTGGGGTATGCAAACAAAATGTAGGCCTATACATTTCGAGAAAAAATGTAAAATTAATTTTAAAACATTAGTTATCATCATATAACAAAATGAAGAAGAAAAAAGAAATACATTCAATTTATTGAATTTTAAATTCAATTTTTTTTTTATTTGTAACCTTTAAAACAGGTTAAGCCGCAGATTAATAGAACGAGTAATAGTATCGTTCTGATATTACGTAGAACTTATGTACATTTTCTGATTTACTTGGGGAAGCAACATGAGGTCGAAATAAAATGAGTTGCCAACTCGCCTCAACTGTATCCACTGTGTGCCGAAGTCTGCCACTAGATGCCATTCTCCGCTCTCCTTGAACACCATTGTTGGCTGTTGAATGCGAAGCGAGGTGTTTTTCTCCTCCTCCAAACCTGTATTGAAGCCGTGTTCCAATGAAAGCAGGTGGAATTCCCCCTTTCGACCAATGGCGCTCTGCCCTCTCAACAATCCGTTCGAAAAGGATGTGTGGGCTCGGTTATGGCGCTGGCGTGAAGTTATTGGAAACGGACAAGCCCAGGAAGCAGGATTTTGGTAGGCTACAACTACACCAGCCAAAGCTTAGGGCTGCCCGCTTGAATGGGAACAAGTGAGCAGACCATTCATATTGGGTCAAACGTACACCTTGGGAAGACACTTCGGCGACGTCGGATTGAAGATAAATGATTTCTTCAAAAGTTCCTCTGTCAAAAGCGAGCACGCATGAGAAATAAGAATGACCTCGGGCTAAAAAAGGCATGGATCGCAAGAGTTAGACTGAGTTCTAACTCCCCTCGAGCTGTTTGTGTTTTTAACTGAGGAGAAGGACTAAAAGAGTCACCATGCCTGCCAAAACAAAGTACAATTTAGTCGATGATGGACACGATTTGCGGATTCCTTTACATAACGAGGAAGCATACCAACATGGGATTAATTTCGAAGCAAAGGTAGGCTAATTTTCTTTTGACATAAAGACATGTTTTTCAGCAGCATGTTTTGTTTACATCCTGCTGCAAATCCTGTTTTCAGTCCCAGGAAACATTGAAAGTTGTTGTGCCACTGTTGTTGCCACTTGTTTACATTCAATTTAATTGATTTAATTGAGCGCGTGAATTCTGATACCACATTTAGTTTCACTTAAGCCCAACGTGTTGCTAATACATTTAATACATTTCATCTTGTTGGCTTTTCCAGTATATCGGTAGTCTGGATGTGGCTCGACCCAACAGTCGTGTGGAGATTGTTGCGGCCATGAGGCGGATAAGGGTGAGTTTTTATGGAACCAGTTTACTTTTACTGCTTCCTAACGCCACGACGTGACTCAGCCTCTGTTCCGCACGGGTGGTCTTTATGCCTCGAGCAACAATCAAAAGACAAAAGCAGGACAGATCAATGGGCAAATTACTTGCAAAATGAAAGGGTGGGATATTGATATCCCTGTCAAAGTTGCTTTGATACACATACACCGGTCCTGTAAGATACGTCGCCTTTGGCAACCACAGCGTAACGTTATGTGGATTTTCATGTGTGTAAACAGAGAAGAGCTCTTTGAAGTGGGGGTCTTCTGTGTAAAGCACTTAAAGGGCCAGATATGGCGCCCACCAGTCATGCGCGATGAGAATACACTGGCTTCCTGTGTAGCTAGAACCCCTTGATACAGATATCCTACATGTTTTGCTGTCATTTTTTGTGTTTAAATGCATTTCCTTGTTGGTAGATTGATTAGTTAATTTAAAGTCCTCATATGTACATGTAGAAAGCTACATAATGAATCAAAGGGCTCCTATGTTTGTATGTACCCAGAGCTCTTGGAAACCACAACAAATTCCTTGTGTGTTTGTGCACACTTGGCGAATAAAGCTCATTCTGATTCAGATTCTATTTAGTGTTTACTGCTCCCTAGGGGATATCTATAAAAGTTCACTTTAGGAGGCACATTTTGTACATCATCCCATTTGAAAGCTTAAAATAGTTTTCCTATTTCAATTAATGACCCTAATGTCCTCAAGAGTGTGATATATCGTATTCAAAGTGTGTTTTATTCTCCTTCCATTTACAAAAATAAAGGAAAATAGTATTGATAATATTGATAACTTTTCATTCATACCACTGAGGTTTTATGAGTCTTAAGTGTGATCTTCAAACCAGCCTGTTGTTGTCAGTTAGCTGTATTCATGATTGGTTCTCAAACATTCACTTTATTGCTGGCAGAGAGAGTTGTTTTACCTGTAGATATCTACTTCCTTTTCCTGGTAAATTTTGCATTGTGTGGCCTGGCTATTGCTATTACAGTGAAACTTATTTCAGGGAAGTGAGATGTAAGAGGTGGTTTGAATGTAACAATTGAAAGGCTTTTTTTCCCCCTCCCAACATCCTGGTTTCCAGCATGGAAGCAAGCACCAGGTGCAAATGAGCCTATTAACCTTTTCAGTGTGCTGGACCTCCTGCTATGGTATGCTGGCTAATGGGCACCCACATGCTTTTAAAGCATAGAATTGTTGTGTGTTAAAGCTCAAACACAAAAGTTACACAAAACCAATCATGCTGTAGTGACTAAGCAGTTTTAAGTTCAAGTAGTGACGGCATTGTTTGAACTTAACTTGTTTGAGCTTGTAGTAGACTGCCCTACAAAGACAACATACATACAATAACTATGACAACACTGAAACTGTTTTTTTTTTCTTTCATATATTTCACATATTTTTTTTTTTCTATAAACCAAACCTATCCTTCACTGGACAGATTTTGTCAGAACTATTGATTAATAACTTGTGCCTCCTCAGATTTCCGAGCCAAGTGCATTTTGAATGCAGCTTCCAAAAGACAAAAATAGCGGAATAATATTTTTTTATATTTGATACAATCGCACCGGTGTGATTAGATCGTTCAGTGCGGCACAGCATCAGCTCCTAAATTTAAATCTGCGTTCGCTGGCTGACGCTGAGCCAGAGACAGATGGGTTTGTACAGCGCTGCATTATAACCAATCACACACGATTCTGTTGAGCTTATGAATGCAATGACCAATCAGAGATGTTCAGATGAGTCATTGCTGAAACAGTGTTTTGCTCTCATCAGAAACAACAAAGTGCAGATGTGCGTACGAATGTAAGTAAGATATTCATTTCACAGTGTAAACAGCTTCAGTGATTTTAATGGGAGTTTTTGAGAGTGCCTCTGGCTAGACTGAATGAAAATGTTCTTTGATAATGTAAATGTTCTTTGCTCTCTGTAAAATGAAAGTGTTATAATTAGTAACTTACAATATTGTTATTAAATTCACATTAAATACAAAGTCAGTCGTATTAAAATATATTTCACTATGTCTAGACGTTTCATTTCACTATGTTTATGTTTAATGTATAATGGATTTTCATCGCATATGACTGCAAGTCTGGGTCTGGGGTATGCAAACAAAATGTAGGCCTATACATTTCGAGAAAAAATGTAAAATTAATTTTAAAACATTAGTTATCATCATATAACAAAATGAAGAAGAAAAAAGAAATACATTCAATTTATTGAATTTTAAATTCAATTTTTTTTTTATTTGTAACCTTTAAAACAGGTTAAGCCGCAGATTAATAGAACGAGTAATAGTATCGTTCTGATATTACGTAGAACTTATGTACATTTTCTGATTTACTTGGGGAAGCAACATGAGGTCGAAATAAAATGAGTTGCCAACTCGCCTCAACTGTATCCACTGTGTGCCGAAGTCTGCCACTAGATGCCATTCTCCGCTCTCCTTGAACACCATTGTTGGCTGTTGAATGCGAAGCGAGGTGTTTTTCTCCTCCTCCAAACCTGTATTGAAGCCGTGTTCCAATGAAAGCAGGTGGAATTCCCCCTTTCGACCAATGGCGCTCTGCCCTCTCAACAATCCGTTCGAAAAGGATGTGTGGGCTCGGTTATGGCGCTGGCGTGAAGTTATTGGAAACGGACAATCCCAGGAAGCAGGATTTTGGTAGGCTACTACTACACCAGCCAAAGCTTAGGGCTGCCCGCTTGAATGGGAACAAGTGAGCAGACCATTCATATTGGGTCAAACGTACACCTTGGGAAGACACTTCGGCGACGTCGGATTGAAGATAAATGATTTCTTCAAAAGTTCCTCTGTCAAAAGCGAGCACGCATGAGAAATAAGAATGACCTCGGGCTAAAAAAGGCATGGATCGCAAGAGTTAGACTGAGTTCTGATTCCCCTCGAGCTGTTTGTGTTTTAAACTGAGGAGAAAGACGTAAAACAGTCACCATGCCTGCCAAAACAAAGTACAATTTAGTCGATGATGGACACGATTTGCGGATTCCTTTACATAACGAGGAAGCATACCAACATGGGATTAATTTCGAAGCAAAGGTAGGCTAATTTTCTTTTGACATAAAGACATGTTTTTCAGCAGCATGTTTTGTTTACATCCTGCTGCAAATCCTGTTTTCAGTCCCAGGAAACATTGAAAGTTGTTGTGCCACTGTTGTTGCCACTTGTTTACATTCCATATTGTCAATTTAATTGAGCGCGTGAATTCTGATACCACATTTAGTTTCACTTAAGCCCAACGTGTTGACAGGAGATCTAATACATTTCATCTTGTTGCAGATTTCTGAGCCAAGTGCATTTTGAATGCAGCTTCCAAAAGACAAAAATAGCGGAATAATATTTTTTTATATTTGATACAATCGCACCGGTGTGATTAGATCGTTCAGTGCGGCACAGCATCAGCTCCTAAATTTAAATCTGCGTTCGCTGGCTGACGCTGAGCCAGAGACAGATGGGTTTGTACAGCGCTGCATTATAACCAATCACACACGATTCTGTTGAGCTTATGAATGCAATGACCAATCAGAGATGTTCAGATGAGTCATTGCTGAAACAGTGTTTTGCTCTCATCAGAAACAACAAAGTGCAGATGTGCGTACGAATGTAAGTAAGATATTCATTTCACAGTGTAAACAGCTTCAGTGATTTTAATGGGAGTTTTTGAGAGTGCCTCTGGCTAGACTGAATGAAAATGTTCTTTGATAATGTAAATGTTCTTTGCTCTCTGTAAAATGAAAGTGTTATAATTAGTAACTTACAATATTGTTATTAAATTCACATTAAATACAAAGTCAGTCGTATTAAAAATATTTTATGGCATGACACCCATATCTGGTACTTAAGTAAAAAGTCGGGTTTTTATGTGTAGTTAATAGATTACACTATTAGTCTTTGCCCATCACCATTGATCAAATAACATAATCTATAAAGGTGCAAAAGCATTTAATTACACATTTGAGAATCGAGACATTTCCAGATATAAGCTAGTTAACACGTCTGGAAATATTTCGAATAAAAAGAAAAAATAAATAAATAAAACATAGCCTATATCAGTTATACAGTGCTATCGTGGCTGCTGTGCATGCCCCCTCAAAAATCATGAGTGTATGACGCCCCTGGGTGCGGGTGAAATCATTATAATGCTGAAGGTGAGGTACAGTTCATATTTCTTCAATAAATAACTTATAACGTAATTTGAACACTTTCTGTGAGACATAAAACTGGAGTGAATCGCCGCGCGCACTCTCTCTTTCTCTCACAAAATGTGCAAATGGCTTCAAATCACATCTCGTCTGCACTATAAGCGAGCTGCACAGTTGACACAGGAATTGTCACTTGCACAATCAAGGCAGTGTCACATCGTCACTAAAGTTTATAAATTGCATTTATTTTTTATTCTTGCCAGTGTTTAACTTTAAACCATTCAGCGCTCGCACGCTGTCCTGGAGACTGAGCGCTCATGTTCACTCGCAGCGCATAGGCCTACACATAATGCCAGGTTCACACATTACTCCGTTTGCAGTGCATATGCGGTGCGTATTTTTTCCGCGCTCATGTTAACAGATTAATAAAGCGTGCACACTGTACGTGCAGAGATCGTTTCCATACCGAGTCTATTTTTGCTGCGCTGCAAGCGCTGAATTAAAGTAACAGCGCATTGTTTGTGGTAAATATGAACATGGATTGACACGAAAATGTAGTGATTATACCATAAATGCACATAATTAAAATCTACTGTGTTTCATACAGTCAACACATAGGCTATGGCTTTTTGGCTAGGTTTAAAGGAAAAGAGCACTTTTAGATAAACAAGGCAATAATAGTTGGCATTCGTGGAGGTAGCAAAACAAAGTTCTTTATGAACCGCAGGATTGGTTGTAATTTTGCCATTTGCTTGAGCAACTTAATATATATCTAGAAGTAAATGCAAAAGTAAAAAGCATTGA